GGCAGATTGACTGAAATGCACTGCTGAGGGGAGCAGTGGGTGACAGAGGAGAGGTCTGCTGTGCCAGGTGGGTCAGTTCCCTGGCTGGGAATTGAACTTGTGCTGCAGTGGCTGCGGATAGCTTCACAGTGCTACAACTTCACTCCCAGTATTGGGAGGCCCCAATACAGTAGCATTTTTTGATAACAAAGTCAGCATTGTGAAAAGATTATTCCCCAACTACTTTTTCATAATCTAATGTTTTCAGATATGTGTAACACTATGCCACTGTAGGTCTTAGCTGCAGCCCTTATAGAAGATACATCACTTGGGCAATGCTTAAAAAAATCTTATTTACACACATATGCATAAAAATATTTTCCATTTTAGTGGTTAAGGCATGGATTTTAAGGTGAGAACACTCAATTTCAAATCCTAGTTCATCAATCATTTTCCATGTGCTCCTAAGCACATTACAGAACTACTCTGAACCTCATGTTCTTTGTCAGATATCTCATAACACTGTGATAAGAGTTAAATAAAAGTTTTTGACAGGAATTTTAACTCTGATGATCTAAATCTAAACTTGTTTCTCTGACACTTTTATAATTTATGATTATAAATTATAAATTTATAAATAGTTAACACTTAAAGCTCTATTAAAAATTTATTATACCGAATTTAATGTTTGCTTTAGTAAAAAAGGAATACAAAATATTTGAAAACTCTGATTATTAATTAGATTAATTAAGGGTAGCATCTACCTTTTATCAAGAAAGCTACTGAACTTTCAAAGGACAATGCTTTGCTTTCATTCAGAGTACTTTTTCTAATTCCCAAAACAGACTACCAATTCTAAAAGAAAGACAAGTAACAAGAGTGAGTGCTAAAATCAAGCCTGAATTTTCTCTCCATAAATCCCAGTATTTACATTTAAGAATAATACAATTCTTTCACTAAGTACATTGTTAGATCAATGCTATTCAACTCAACTTCCTATGATGTCATAAAAGCTCTTCATCTGTCCTATCCAATATGGTCTTCACTAGCCAAACGTGGGTAACTAAACACTTAGAATGTGACTAGTACAACTAAGGAAAATAAATTTTCAATTTTATGTAATTTTAATTAATTTTAGTAGCTGTATGTGTAGCTACCAAAGTAGTGCAGCTTCAGAGAATAGGACAGTAAAAAGGAAGCGTGAGGCATGCTAGAAAGGCATGTGGCTGCTCCAGACAGAAGTCTGCAGTGGATTTAATGCAGAACCCTATACTGTAGATTCGCAATAGTTTAAATCACCGGCATTCTACAACAGATGAAAGAGTGAGTCACCCCAATCCAAGTAGAAACAAAGACAAGGGAGATGAGAAACAGAAGTACTGTAAAAATCTGCTCTTCTTAGAAGTTGTTAAAGAACTACTTTTAGAATTTTAATTACAACTGTGAATGCATCAGATTGTAATAGCAGTCTATGGCAATACTACCCTGAAGGTGCCCAATCTCCTCTGATCTCGGAGGCTAAGCAGAGTCAGGCCTGGTTAGTACTTGGTGGGAGAACAGCAATAAATATGAACGGCAATAAACATGTTCAAACTATAAAATACACACTGAGGCAAAACAGAAAAAGTCAAAAAAGAAACAGTTATTAAGGTGTATGGATACAGAGAAATTAAAAAATAGAAACTCATGCGAATTCAGAAATTTCTAGCTCATAACAGCTTTAGTATGCCAGGTCACTAGTTTTCAATTGGAGGTGGTTTTTGACAGTATAAGTGGACATTTCTGTCTGTCACACACAGAGCAGGGGACACTACTGATATATATATGGCACATAAAGATCATGAATGCTGCCAGTGCATAGCACAGTCCCCTACAACAGACTTACCTGGCCCCAACCTCCACTAGAGTGGGCACTGTTATCTAAAATGCAGCAGAGTTTAATGAGATATTTTAAAGTTTCTAGACACAATGAAATCTGATTTCATCTCAAACTGCTGGCAGCAACAGTCTTTCAAGAAACTTAAAACATTATAAAGTAGAAGCATACTAGATTATTTGTAAATTTATCAATTTCTGTTTCATCTAAGTATTCTGATCTGTTAGCTCCATGTAAATAGGACTAGGGCAATCTTGATTTTTGCTGTACTTTGACTGCCTGAGCAATATAGCAGGTTTACAAATACTCATAATTGGACAAATGAAGAGAAATACTAACTGGACTTCTCTTTCCAATATGGCTCGATCATTGTAGCCAGTGGTGTTAGAAATTACAAAGTATCTTTGGTTCCAGACAGAATTATTTCTCACATCTTCTTTGAGAAGTTGGTCTACATACTGCAGTTCATTATCCCAAAGTTTAAATTCCTAAATGAAAACAAAAAAATAAAAACTCCAACTAGAAATGGTCCATTATGTATAGACAGGAAAAAATAAAACTTCACAAAGCTAAGTAAGCAGAACTGAAGATAAGACATTCTCCATATATTTGAAGGAAAGTGAAGAGTTACAGGTCTAAAAATGGAGGGGAAAAACATCAAAGACAAGAATGGTCATAAGGAAGGAGAAAAACCAGGAAGAAAGTAGCCAAGGTCGTTTATAATTCAATACCATTTCCTTAAAAACAAATTAAGTACCAAAACAGCAAATTCGTTTAGAAAATTTATGCTTTCCATCAAATTTGTTTAATTAAAAACATTTTTGGTGAACTGTTCCTCGTATAATGAAAAATGCAAAAAGTAACAGTCACTGGAAATAATTCAAAGGGAACAACACTAAAATTGTTTTCTAGAATAAGTAAAATGTCTAAAGTGGGAGTTACAACTATTCTATTCAGGAGTTAGCATAAAATTTTAACAAATGGGCAGAAATAAAATACTTGATAGTTACTGTAAAATCATATTCCAAAGTTCATGTATGCAAAAACCTTAATATGAAATTTGGTCTTATTAGTTAAAATAGTTGCATTAGAAGTTTACAACTACTTTTTCTATTCCATGTGATAATAAATATTTGCTATGACACAATCAAACCTAAAAATACTTAAAAATTACTATTATTCTTTACTCACATGAAGTAATTTACAAACATACCCAAAGAAATTACAGATGTAACACGAAAGATGTCAGATTTTAATTAAGCTTTTTAATAATTCTTAATCCTTATATATTTTATAAAATGGCCTATATCTGGTTTTGTTTAGTAGTATACTCACAACTTAACTGTAATTTTAATTATTTAATTGTTAAAAAATAAAAATCTAAAAAGCCTTGTAATAAGAAAGGCAATACCTGAATAACCCATTGTCGATGCTGCCAGGCATGGTAATTCTTTGCATCCTGATTAAGAATGTCAGCAATAAACTCAAGCTCCTGAGATGGATCCTTTAGCCATTCCACTAATACTCGCCTATGATGCCTAAATCCAGTGAAAAAGAGAGAAGCTTTGTGTTAATTTCCCCCAAGAAGTAAAGTACCAGCTGCATGTGTTATACTAGGTGACAAAGAAATCATCAAGAAATAGTCATCTCTAATCTCCAGGCTGTAGTGAGGAAAAATGGTAACATAAAAGAAACAGTAAGAAAAAATACAACGAGGATATCGAGTAAGAGTTGAGAAACATAAAACAGTGATTTGTGTATAAAGTTAAATTGGGTACAGGAGCCCTCTCTGGTGGTGCAGCGGACTAAAGCACAGCAATAAG